GTGGCGGCTTTTCCTTTTGTTTGTGTTTTGGTTGTGTTTTTGGTCTTTTCTCGCATTGTTTGCAGGCGGGGGAACGTGTCTCTGCCTCTGGACTCATGGTCGATTGCTTCTGGCGGTGGCGAGGCCTCCCCCAGCCCCTCGGTCATGGCCTGGACCTTGGGGAGGGGGTTTCACCTGCTGCAGGGTCCTCGGGCCAAACCCAGCCGTGCACACGGGGGTCGTTTGGCTTTATCCCTTCCTTGCTTGCATGGAAAGCTTCCCCTCTTTTATTTTCCCTCCTGAGCATCTCTGCTGCACGGTGCCTCGGGTCACCGTTCCCTTCTGCCGTGGGAACGGCTCTGCTGTCCTCCGAGTCCTCCCTTTCGGGATGCACCGGAGTCTTTCCCAAATGCAGCCATCTCCCGCCTTCATGAACCAATTAACGAAAAAAAAAAAAAGAGGCACCCTTTCCTCCAATAGAGGAAATAATGGTTTTGCTGCGAGGCCAGAATGTAGCTGGGAACATCCGCAGCCGTGCCGAGTGCTCCCCTCCCCGGCCTCAGCCTCCTGCTTCCCAGGGCCCCCGTCCAGGCCTGGGCACTCCTTCCTCCAGCCCGTTTTTTCCTGAAAGGAGGAGCAGCCTGCCGTGACTTGCTGAACCCTGGGAAGTCCCTCAGTGGAGAGAAGGGACCCTTGGGTACCAACCTCAAGTTTCTCAGAAAATCCAAGTCCTTTTCCCCTCCCACCAGCATTCCCAAACCCAAGGAACGTTGAAAGCCGGCCAGCCCCCCCGGCGCACGTCCCTTCGGCTGGGTGCGGAGCGCTGGGCCAGGAGCGTCCAGCTTTCTGGATCGGCGCTGGATTCTTCTGGCACGGATCCCTCTGAGCCAGGAGTTGGGACTTATTTTGCCGTTCCCTCCCCCCGCCCCGGCTTGGGTCAGGCCCACGCAGCCGAAGCTGTGGCAATCTCTGCTTTCCCATGAGTTCATCTTGTAATAAATCGCACCAGCCCCGCGGAGGGGGCGGAGAAAATGGAAAGATGTTTATAGAATCAATTCCCTAAAGGAAATCGCATGGGGGAGGGCAAATGGGGGGAAGAGTTGGGAATTTTTTTTTTTTGTTACAGAAGATTTTTTTTTTTTAAATTTTTTTTGAGTTTGTTGGATGGAAAAAATCTGCAGAACAACTTCAGGGCTGGGAAACAATTAGATTTCCTCCTCTGCTGCTCTTCTAAGGAAGAGTTTACTCCCTGTTTGCACTGTGTGGGTCGTCTCTTGCCACCCCAGGGTCAGAAGGGACCATTCCCGTCCCCTGGGACGTGCCACAAATTCCATGGAGTTACTCCAGTAATTGGTCTGGCTGGGATGTATCTTCCAGAAAAATCCCACCTCTTTGAGGGAGAGATGGGGAGAATCCCCCGTCTCCCTCAGGAGTTTCGCCCTGTGGTTGTTTAATCATGCTCCTCAAAACTTCGTGCCGTCTGCGGGATCACCCAGCTCTCCTCGCGTCCCTCCGCGCGGCGTCGGAAGGGTTGGGAAACACTTGTGGCCAAAAAGAAAGGGGAAAAAGAAACGCAAAAGTGGTTTCGAGCCACTTTTCAGGGTGTGAGAGGGTGATGGGGCACTACGGGACCCCCTCCTTGGTTTCTCCCGGTGCTCGGGGGTCCGCTGCGGGGGAGCCGGGAGGATGCTACCATC